CTAGATGGTCCTAAGCCCGGGTAAAGATGGAAGGTTGGGGAAAGGGCTAGCAACCCTACCCCGTAAAACAAATCCAGAGCTAAAGAATATTCGAAGCACAAACAAGATATAAAAAATTTAAAAAAAATTATTCCTCGCTGTAATCGGAGAGACAAAATGACGCCGGTTGATGAAAGCCTTCGGGAAGCCGATTGACCGATGTGTGCTCTCTCGATGAAAGCGAAAGTAAACGTGGGGACACGGAATGTCAGCACCATGTTTGGACCTAGCAATGCAGCCCAGATTGCAAAAGAGATGAGAAAGTATCACACTGAGGTGCTTGGGATTTGCGAAAGCAGATGGAATGGGAGTGGACTCTCCAAACTGTCAACTGGAGAATCAATAATCTACTCTAATATTGTCACCCAGACGACAACCACAATCACACTGAGTTTTCGAGTGGCTATCATTATGTCACCAAGAACATCAAAGGCTCTCCTGCAGTGGGAACCAGTCTCCTCCAAGATCATGACAGCAAGGTTCAACTCGAAAGGAAGGAAAGTCACAATCATACAATGCTATGCTATGCACCTAGAAATAATGCAGATGAAGAGAAGAAGGAGGAATTCTACAGACAACTGCAATCAGAACTGGACAAGACCTTAGTTGGCGACATCGAAATTCTAATGGGTGGGGTGACATGACTGCCAAACTGGGAGCGGACAACACAAGGAGAGGACTAACCATGGGTCGAGAAGCGCTGGGTGAAATGAACGAGAATGGACAACTGTTTGCAGAATTCTGCGCATCCAACGGTTTGGTGATTGGAGGCACTGTGTTCAAGCACAAGGATATCCACAAAGTGACATGGATTTCACCAGACACCAGGACACACTAAAAATCAGATTGACTTCATCTCAATGTGAAGAAAGTGGAGAAGCAGCCAGCTTACTGGACACAAGATCAAGAAGGAAAGCAGATGTAGGTTCATATCATTCATTACCTAGTGCAAGCAACCTTCCAAATTAAGTTGAAAGCCTTCACAGAAGTTGGTGACAGAACACAGTTCAAGTTCAACACCCAGAAAATGAAGGACGAAACTACAAAGAAAATCTTCACGGCAGCCATCAAGACAAAATGGGAGATATCGAAGAACATCCTAGAAGAAACATGTGTGGATGAGCACTGAAACTCTTTGAAAGCTATATGGAAAGAAAACTGCATAACCCTATCAGGAAGGAAGAAGAAAGAAGATAAGGAACGGATCTCGAAGGACACATGGAAGCTGATAGAAGAGGATGGTGAAGCAGAAGATAAACCAGTGCAAGGATGCACAACGAGAAGGGGAACTGAATACAATATATAAAACACTGGACAAAGAAGTGAAGAAGAGTGCACGAAAAGACAAAAGACACTTCTACCAAACCCTGGCAAGTGAAGCAGAACAGGCTGCAGGTAGGAGAGACAGAGACCTGACAACATTGTATCAAATAACCAAGTTACTATCTGGGAAAAGATCAACGCAGATGAAACCAATAAAATATGGTAGAGGAAATCTAATTACGAAAGAAGAGAAACAAAGGAAACGATGGGCTGACCAATTCAAAAAGCTCTTGAATCAACTGCCACCTGCACTTTGTCCAGAAATACCACCAGTAGCCACAGAACTACAAGTGAACACAAATCCTTCGACGAAAGTCGAAGTCCTGAACTCCATAAGGCTACTGAAATGTTGGAAAGCAGCAGGACCAGATGGAATCCAGCCAGAAGCACTGAGAGCGGACGCAGAGACAACAGTGGACATGCTCACACCACTATTGCAGAAGGTTTGGAAGGAAGTGAAGGTACCTGCCTATTGACTGGAAGATGTCAACCTCACTTCGGACGCCCAACTCGTCGTTTCCCATTTGGCTTCCACTGGAGAACCTGGTGCGTGATGTCCCCAGACGGTCTTCCTTCTCAGTGTATATCCAATCCAATGCATCTCCACTCTCTTCCTCTGCATATTTGTTGGGTGACAGATTCTTAGTTGGTTCGTTGCAATGCCACAGTGAGTTCCTTGTTGCTTATTCTCATTATTCTGTCCATCTGATCTCCATCTTCAGTATCGAGTGACCGTAGACGGCAGCTGTTGATGAATGTCTGCAGTTTGTTGGGAATGCTTTACGTAACGCGCCAAGACTCTCAACCATCACATAGAAGCACTGACTTGATTGAATTAGTGTTGAACATCCGGATGTTGTTCACGCTTTGTGCTGAGTACAGTGAAGCAGATCTCCACACTGATTTCAGACTAATGCAGGAACACCTGTCTTGCTTTTCCGATCCTGGTTTTGACATCCTTGTCTGTGCCGCCTGTGGTTGGGACGATGCTGTCTAAGTGGTAGATGAAAGAGATTACTTCTTTTAGGTTTCTCTCATTAATGGTGATTGAAGATGAAAAGTGTATGAAAGCCTATTTAATGTTGCGATCGATTCGCAGGCATCCCGCAGCGACGAATTCAATCAGCTGTCCATCTGAACAACACTTTGATAAGGATACTAAGGTACAAGAATATCACCAGCATAATAGATACGGAAACAGGTGATGCGAGATATCCTCACCTAAAGAATATTCAGTGAGCCTGTATAACCTTGTAGGACGGATGTGCAGTAATTAGGAAGCATTCAGTAGTGTTTTGGGGGTGCCTGTTCTTTTGTATGTTTGAAGCGCAAAGCATTTCTAAAAAATCCGGTAGCAAACATTTATCATTTATAGACTGTTGGAATCGTAATCCTAACAATAAGTATAATGTAGGAGTAAAGTTAATGGAAGAGTAAAACTTGGACACTGGGGGAAAAGCATAATTCCACTTTAATTTTTGTTGTATAACAGTATTATTTACTGGATGGCAATGTTTAGAGCAAAATTTATTCTTTATATTCATCTTCTGCTACCCAAAAAGTGGTACACAGTGAAAATGGATAGAATAAATTCATGAAAGCTTATTCTACATACAGAAGTATATACAACTTGATAAGGAATACTTGAGATTGTTCATGTAGACTACTCTCATTCAATGTAAGCCAAGAGAAGATCATAGACATGACTATCATCAGTAGCATAAATCACAGGATGACAAGAGAAATTCCCTCATAATACTACTTTAAATAGATCATAACATGCACTACAAGGATGGGAAATACACACAAACTAGCACTTATATATATATATATATATATATATATATATATATATATATATATATATATATATATATATAACATTTTATACGAGAACATCAACCAGTACAGTATGATATATTTATACAAAATGATCACAATGTGATGCTTTTGAAGTGAAGAGAGGAGTAAAACAAGGCTGTCTACTATCAACCATGATATTCCTCATTGTAGTGGACTGGATCATGCAACAAACTGTGACGAGCTGGAAGACGGAGATGCGCTGGACCAGGGAAAAGAACCTAGAAGATTTGGATTTCGCCGATGACCTGTGTCTGATGTCACACAAACTTGAAGATCTACAGGCAAAAAATAACAAGTTGACAGAGGAGGTGAGACAGTGAAGACGGGACTTTCTTCGGGTGAATGTAGAGAAGACAGAGGTGATGAAGATACCCAACCAACACCACCAACAACAACAACAACAACAACAAGCTCCAATCACCATCAACGGGAGAAACTTAAAGGAAGTAGCCTCTTTCACCTATCTAGGCAGCACCGTTTCAATTACAGGCGACACAGGCACAGACGAGGACGTTAAAGCAACCAGGATCAGAAAGACAGCAAGACAGGCGCTTATTAGCCTGAAACTAGTGTGGAGATCTGCTTCACTGCACTCAGAATAAAGCGTGAACAAGATGCAGATTTTCAACACTAATTCAGTGAAGTCAGTGTTTCTGTATGACTCAGAGACTTGGTGCATCAAGAAAGGGATTTCCAACAAATTACAGAGATTCATCAACAACTGCCTACACTGGCTCGTTACTGAACATAGATCAGATGGCCAGAATAATAAGAATAAGGAACAAGGAACTCACTCTGGCAACGAACCAACCACGAACCTATCGCTCAACAAATATGCAGAAGGAAGTGGAGATGAACTGGATTGGGAATCCACTAAGAAGGCGACTGGGGACATCACACGCCAGGCTAGGCCGTCGAGTGGTACCCAGATGGGAAGTGGCCAGTTGGGCATCCGAGATGAGGGTGACGTGGAGGAGATCGTTTGAGGAAGGAATGAGAGTTTGTGGGCTGTCGTGGAGCCAGGTTCAGGAGTTTGAAGAGAACTGAGTGAAATGGGGACGTGCTAGTGTGAAGCCCTATGTTTCACTAGGAACTCAAGGAACAAATGATAATATTATACAATAATACAAAATAGTTGTATTCACCACGTTTATCGTCCAAATAGTATGTGGCATATACTCTTAAGAGATTACACATAGACGAATCATAAAATCGAATTTATCAAATAGAAAAATGTACAAACCAGTTTGTTAGTTACTCCATAACATCACAGAGATGGATACATTGAACATATACAACTTGGAGCTATAAAAAACGATTCTTCATTCCATCCGACTACTGAATGAAAGCATTGAAAATCCATTCATTCCATACCCATCGGGTAACTGATATTAACAATACAATTTATTTAGTGTTATTGCTTGTATTACACCGTCGTTGATTGGACCGCATAGGAGCCCATATGCCAACAGAGACTGATCAATTCGGTCCAATCAACGACGGTGTAATACTAGCAATAACACTAAACCTATACCCGTCGCACAAGAGGTAGCTATCGTGGCTCGGTGGTGTAGTGGATAACGCGCTGGCGTTTGAAGCAATCGCTCCCGAGTCCGAGTCCCGATGTGGATAACATCACTCACTGGGAAGCAGGTACATCCACCTGCCGAGTCCCAAGAAGGACGAAATGCGTATCCTGAATTCCACTGCTAGACACTGCCCATCATTACTAACACAATTTATTATCATGACGATATTCTACACAGAAAAACTAACCATCAAATAAGATTTATACAGAAAAAGAAAATGTATTATCATACAGAAAAGTTGAAAGACAGACAATTGACAAACAGAAGCATAATTTCCTCAATTCCCCGTAACTATAAACGAGAAAGATTTCGCAACTAATGCTCGTCATCAAGATTCACATTTATATCTGAAGATGAAATAAACCATAGTAGCACATAAACAGACAGATGATGAGAAACATATACGCTTTAATTCTTAAGAGTAGTTGACTTTTTAGGAGGTAGTGGAGGAGGTGATGAACGATTCGTATTCGGCACATTGTTTGATGACAAGAGATTTCCTGACCACGAATTTGTACATGGTGAATCAATATAAATGTCATTATTCTCAGCTTTCATGTTTTCTCCAGTTCGTCCAGATAAACAATGTGACCCATAGAAGCGAATACGAGGAGGTAATGGAGGCGGAGAATTCGACATGCCATTATCAACAGCTTCACTTTTACATTTCTCTGTGCAATCTATCAATATGTGAAATGAAATGAAAACAAAAATTGTGGCGTTGTATTTATAGCATAAACTGTGTAATAAAGAGTTAAATTGATAAGAATACTACTACTACAAGAGTTAGGCAGCAGTCAATATTCATTCATATACAGGATAGTAAAATACACCCACCGTCACTCTAATCCAATAAGTAAGATAATAGACAACATCTAGTTGGTCAATTTAATTAACTTTGGGTAGTATCGCATTTACCGTTACTCTCATCCCTACATACATACACATATAGAGACAGACAGACAGACAGAATTAGGGATATTCCTAACCAATCCACATTAATCTAATGCTGAGGTCTGCTTTCCAATTATCCCTATACAGAATGTTAAAATAAAGTTTGTTGCATTGATGCTTGAAATCAATCCAACTTGTCAATTCAATATACAACTTTAGATAAACTATGATCAAGATTTGATCGTATAGTTTGACAAATATTGAAAGTTCAAAATGTAGTACCTAAAGAAAATCAACAGAACTGCGTCTATCAAATCAAATCCGGTGATTGTACTGCAGTATATGTAGGGGAAACAGCCAGGCAGGTAAATGTGAGAGTCAATGAGCATAAACTATGCTTACAGCAGATCCCAAAAACCTCAACAGAGGTTAAGAAACTAGAAAACAAATCCATGATAGCGCTACACTCTGTAGAAATGGGACACAAAATTCACTTTGACGGGACTAAGGTTTTACAAAAAGGTTCCAGGTCCATACCAAGAAAGACTGACAGCCGAAGCCCTACATATATCGGCGAATCCAGACAGTTTGAACAGACGAGATGGAGTACAGTTAGCTGCCACCTCTTGGCAATTACTAATTAGTAAGCAGAAAGAATGACTCAAAACATTTACCGTCAACACTAGTCTCAACTTCATTATTTCTGCATCATCAACAACAACACAACATGCACTAATTTGGTTCATTATTACTATCATCATCATCATCTTCACCACCACCATTACTATCACTCATTTCCATTATATTCCGGTAAATCAATGCGAAGATAATCCCCTAACACTATTCACCACTTTATTCCAACTGAAATTGTATACACATCCACCTCATCCTTTTCAATTTGTACTAATAAAATTACCGAATGACTGTCACCAATGTCCTTTTCATCTGATATTTACAATCAAGATGAATATGAACTGGAGTATACATATATACATACGCCATACAACAAAAGATACACAATTTCACATTGAATGATTCCGTTATCATAATGTAGAAAGACAATGACTATACAAAGAGGATAAGACAAGGAGATTAAATACACGTTTTTTTGGATTCATTTATAGGTATCCCGGGTATTTTAATTTTGATTATTTCCCTGAAAAGCTCGGACCAGACTTCCTTGCGAAACGTTGGAATTATTTGATTTTAAACCCGCTATGGCTTGCTGAAACACAATCTAAATCAATACATGACGTTTAAATTTCACGTTTTCACAGTAGAACGACTCCTCATTTTATGCTTTTACAAGAGGTATTACACATTTCCAAACATTTGCAGTATGTCATGAATCACATTCTGTTACCTCGTCTTCATTCAATGAATAAAAACTACATAATCACAGAGTTGACCTTTTGGTTTACGAAATTAGTTTCCTCTGTACAGTTTATCATTATGCTTATCTCTCAACTCCTGCGCTCCATTATCCTTAGGAATATGAATAGGTTACTCTGACATCCGCGACGTACTCCAAAATCATTCCATTATATTTGATAGGTTAAGTCATTTTGCCTAACTCGATCTACTGAGTTTATCGGTTTACATGCCACCGTTGTACCAGTATTGTTAACATTTCTATAAAAAATTTCCGACAAGCCTTCTCTATATGGCAGTACAACAGAGGACTTGGAATTCCCTCTGAGATATGGTGTCATCATCACTAATGTTAACACTCCATCTCTTACAAGTACGTGTAAAGCATTTAATAAACTTCAGAGGGTAGCAATGTCTCTTTAATGCATTTCAATTCCTGATTTATTAGTCAGACTCCTAGCTCGATTACTTTAACATTTTACGAAGTCTACCTTCACAGATATAGAGTGAGAAGAAGTGAAATCCAAGTATCTCTGTGTGAGTTTGATGATTTCCTGGAAACGCTGATGTCTAAACTGACATAGTTGCTGCTCTCCATTTTGTAATTCAACAAAGGTAACTCTCCTTCCCCATTTTCCAAATTCATAGGTGAATTGGATTGCATCTATTATCGAGTTAAGTGTGTGAGGAAAGACTTTGGATATGTTCTGAATTCAACGCATTAAATGTATCATCTACATACGCCACCTCACTGCTGAGGTGGGTTGGGATGTTCCTAATGCCAATGGTTCCTGACTGTCCATAAACCTATCTCCTACGATAGAAGAAAAGAGGTGTCTCATGACTACGTTTTATGTTCGTTAAAATATATTTATTGTTTTGGGATTGTTTTTTCACAATACCAGTAAAAAAAGACAACTTTCCACCAGTATCAATTAGAAGTTAAACAGGTTAATTGACCATAGCACAAACATCTGCATTTGACTTGTCATGACTGAATAGAATTTTTATTTGATATATCAGGAGGCACCTTGAATAACTGGTGATCATTTATTGAAACGTCGGATGATCAATAGTTCATAGAGGTAGGAATCATTTGAAAAAGGTTATGGAACACCCAGGAATCAGCAGTAAGCTTATGGTCAGGCTGAACAGAAATTATTACTTAATTTGGCCGTTCTTAACACTTTCCCGGTCAAAATATACTTTCCCTAACATTTTACTTCTCGATAAGTCGCAACTACGCATGTGGAACACATATTCAGGCTACCCCTGTAGAATAAGGTTGACAATCTCACCAACTCAACTCCTGACTGATAGCTCACACCTTGATGTGGTGGTTGGACATTGGTCATACACTGATCTAGCTAGCTGTGCTAGTTGGAATAAAAATTCCTTATGGTCATACCAAGTAAGGAAGTTCTATTGAATAGTAATCATAATAAAAGCATTTACCATTACAATGTGAAACGTTATACTATGGTAAGGCTCCATGAGTTAAAGTTGTACTGCTAGCTGCAAAGGGGTGTGACAGTAGTAAGGTCTTTCCTACACATGAACAGTAGTTCATGTTGCCTTCTCTGTACAAAAGAGGGAGGTTAAAAAAAGTCAACCCAGAAAAAAGCATACTTTTTCTTTTTTTGTCGATGGCCTCCTTGAATACTGGGCTAACAAAACTTTTCCACTGAATATATTTCATCAAATTCTGTTTTTTCAATCCTCCTCCTCACTTAAATATAGTATCATGTACGCTTACACATTTCTAAAATGTTTCTGAACTAGAGTTCTTTACGTGAACAACATAACAAAGGAAAAAGGTTACGCCGGTGAGAAATGGATATATGAATACAAGGAAATACAACACATCACTATTCCTAGGATATCTATGTCCAGTTAGAGATTTTTGTATTGCCTGAATAAACTATCACCACGGAAATATCCTTCAATTTTCTACTCAATCATCAATCCAAATGTGACGCTAATAATATGCAACAATTATTTTTTTAACAATTATTGTACATGGAATGAATTTCAGAATATTTAGTCGGAATAAAGAGAATACTACTAAACATCTGATTATTCAAATATTAACGCCACTCACTATCAAATTACCGAACTTCTTTTTCGTACTCGTGATGACGACTATTCCTCCTCTTCTTTCTCCTCTCCTTCATGCTTGTCTGTAATGAACATGGAAAGTATGAAGACTGCCGTAGACTATGAATCCAGTCAAAGGATGGTTATATGATACCTATTCCTTGAGTACTAACTGGCTAAAAGGAAGTTGAAGAAAAGTTGATGCGGATTCCTCATTCTAGCATCGATATGACTACAGTTTCACCGTCTTGTAGTCATATGGTTATTGCTTTCCGGTATATTCTACCTCAACTGTTGCTTCTGTTGGTTGATCATATACAGGTATTTCAGTGTTTCTTTTATTGTTACAAATAGAAATGCAAACTTTTCATTAATATTATGAAAGATGTACTTCTTCGATTATTAGCAGTTGTGTAGTCTAGATAGCTTCTAGGCTGGTTCTCAGCTACTCTGAAGACTGTAACGTTCACTTTGAATGCTATATTACACGTTATATATTTTCACTGAATTGTTTGTTGACTAGTTGAGAATGTTTTGATGACTTCTCTGGGATATTTCAAGCAAGTGAATAGATATTTTCAATTTCATGCACTCCAATAACCTTCAATTCATGTAGTATTCTTGAAGTCTTATTGTGGTTCGCTATGTAGAGACTAATCTGCATAGAATTTGGTATAGAAGTATGTTGACTCTACTTCTGAAAAAAGAAGTGAACAGAAATATCATGATGTTTAAATCAACAGGAAGGATGTGAAACATGTTAAGATAAGTAAATGTTGATGATTAAGAAATTCGAAATTTCGTCAATAATCGGGTGAACATATTTGCACTGTTGTGATCAACTTTGATTTAGGATGACAAATCTATTTATAACTGTTGGTTCTTAACAGTTTGTAGACGACAACCACTTGCCTAGACTTTCTTCCATACTGAAATCAAAGATTAGCAACTTTATGGATTAATACAATGTTTCGGATGGCTTTAACAAAGAAGAGTTTCAGTTTAGTAAACATCGAAAAAGCAAGACAGGCCTTCCTGCATTAATTTGAAGTCAGTGTGGAGATCTACTGCTTTCCATTGCACTCAGCATAAAGCGTGAACAACATCTGGATTTTCAAAACCAGCGTCAGTCAAGTCAGTGCTTCTATGTGGATGGTTGAGAGAATTGGAGCAACAAACTGCAAACATTTATCAACAGCTGCCAGCTACGCTCTCTCGATACTGAAGATGAGATGGTTAGAATAATAAGAATCAGCAACAAGGAACTCGCTGTGGCTGGCAACAAACCAACCAAGAACCCATCGCCGAACAACTATGCACTGGAAGGAAGTGGAGATGAATTGGTTTACCACGTCCTATCATCAACTGATTTCATGCACCATAGAGGTTATCATGCACTAAAAAAATCTCATGATCAACTGGAGACATACAGGTGGTAGTGAAGGGTTGTGTCTGATAGATTGGTCACATATGCATAACTGACTTCATGTAACAGCAAAATGGAGGCAAAAGCACTACTAAAGAACTTTAACTCATATCACCCGAACCTGACGTGTACGACTGAGCATAAGCAAAGTAATATGATTAGTTTCCCAGATGTCTCATTAGTGAAAGAATCGATGATATATCGAAGGGCCCACCTATAGAAAACTTTCACGGACAAGACAGTACCTTTATCTTAGAAGCCTTGTCCCGACCCGTTACAACATGATTGTATCCAGAAAGCTGTTAAGGAGAGCCAGGAAAACTTATTTCGACAGCACACTAGACAACGAAATGATGACTCTGAAAAACGTGCTAGTTAAGAATGGGTACCCAGAAGGCTTTATCAAAAAGCAGGCAAGTTGGGTAGGGAGCAAAAAGTCTCCGACAGTACAGGAAAAGCCAGTCTATTTCGCCTCACCATTCAAAGGTGACGATGTGCTGGAAGCGATTAGATGAAGACTAGAGAAGTCTATTAGAAGGACTTATTACGCTGCTAAATTTGTCGTCCTCAGCATCACCAGAGCAGTACTGTAACAAGGTAAAGACAGGGCTCCCACGCTTGACACGTCTAAATGGATATATCAGTTCGGATGTAACTGCGGAAACAAATGGATTGCTCGTACAGATAGGCGTGTCTACCCGAATGGTTGAGCACCTGCCCAAATGGCTGGAGCATGCCAAGAAGACCCCGAGGAACTCGACAACGTAAAAGATACCGGATTATAGGCACGATATTGATACCAATAGGTCTTTTACAGTTATCAGTAGACAGCAAGGTAAGGATTACAGAAGCCTACACAATTCCAGTTGTCAAACCGAATCTTGGATTCAGAAAGAAATGGTAGTCAGCTTGAATCTTGCATAGTAGGAGCTACAACGTCGTCCAATCATTTACGATCTTTCGTACTTGTTCTTCGCTCTTAATTACCACCCATCTTATATTTTTGTTTTCCTTCCATGATTTGTTTCGCCCAACTAACCTTGTTCCTATTACCACTGCTATCATTAGTTCTCTCCAGACGTACCCGGTTTTCTTATTATGTCGGCAGAGATACTATTGGTTGTCTCATTTTAAAATGATGTAGTCTACTCTCAATCGATTCAGTTCTCACTCCTGTGTCAACATAATTACTTTCATTATCATTATTTCCCTACCTGAAATTCATACGACCCTTAGACTGCACTATTACCCAAAATGATTGTTAATCATGCAACTTATCGTCAATCTATTCAATTCTTAACACACGATCCTACTATTTGCATTATCACTTGACCGCTAAAAACTTCACACCGACGTTGTTATACTTGAATATATGTCTCAGTCTACATTATATATGGATGCATGGATGTTTTTTGCGTTATTTAAAGGTACACACAATCACGTGTGCGACGTACCCAACTGATATTCATAAATACATCAAATCCTGTGGTCTCAGATTCGTTGTTTGATAGAGAAATAATATAAACGGCAAAGCATGAAACCACACAGGCATTTCGCCCCAACCAGAACAGATTAAACAAGTAAGAAAACAATCATTTATTCCAAAACTTCATAAGGGTCACTATTTTAATCCAAATATGAAACTATATACTTATAAACTACTATCTAACATCGTATCCTCACAAGTGACTGTACATCCGAACATTCCTTGTGGTCAAATGGTCACTATTAGATTGCTTGTGAGTCCTTTATTTTAAAAATCCTGAGATCCTCAAGTTATTCAGTCTTTATGCTCGTACTTATCTCTGTTCATTACTAGTCTGTAACGCAAGTAATGAAAGTCGCGCGCCAAACTGCCAACTACCTGTTCTCCTTTGGCACTCATATTTGTTTATTGTCCCGTAAGTACAATTAAATGAGTTTCTATGTATCACAAAGTTGAACCAAATTACTTACGTGACAGTGGCATTCTTCTGCTTTGAACATATAGGATATAATTGACCGGAAAATATTTGGAGTTGGTAAATCATGTAGTGCGGATACAATCGTCTCTCTCAATATTGAAAGTGAATTCCAATATCCAGTATCCAATATTGATAGTGCAAGCGTAGAAAACTACTAGTTTTTGATCTCTCGCGTCTAGTTCTTAGGGCTTGGTTCCAGTTGTTCGGCTCACTCCTGCAATGGACGAGGAAATCCCCTCTGCTTTCTTGTTTTTAGTTTCGGTGAGGTGGATGTTTTGTGGGTTAGTAGGTTGTAATTTGTAGAGTGATTAGGAAGCTACGGGCTGCTGGGAAGTTTAGAGAACTGCCGTGACTCCTGTCTGTGTAGGTACCTGGAAGGGAATAGTAAGGTTGTGGTGAAAGAATGAAGAGAGAATGAAGAAAACAGAAGAAAGAAGGAAAAGTAACAATAAGGGAAGGGAAAGGGGAGGGAGAAGAAAAGGAGGGGTGAAAAAGAGAAGTGAGAACGAAAGAAAAGTATTTTGAAATTGCGTGAATGGTCGCGTGGGTTTGGTTCCTACAGAAGAATTAGTAGGTAGTGTGGGTGTATTAAGGAGGGAGATAGTGAGTGGTAGTTAGGAGGGAGTTGGGGGGTACTGAGGTTGGTGACTACCTGAGTAGTCCATGGTAGTCCATGAGAGGTGACATAACTGTCCAATCGCCTCTTGAATGAGTCGATTGAAGGAGCTATAACGATGTGTCGCGGTAAGGCATTCCATAAAGCACATACTCTTAGGGAGAAAAATTTGGACCTGAGTATGGTGTTGGCTCTCTGGTGTGCCATCTTAATGGGGTTTCCCCGTGAAGATCGTTGAGTTGCAGGCAAAATTGATTTGTTTGCATGGTCTGCCTGATGGGAGATCTTGTATGCCATAATGAGGTCACCTCTTTTCCTGCGATAACCCAAGGTAAATAGGTTGAGGTGTTTAAGTCTTTCAGGATACGTCTTTCCCCTTAGCCACACAATTGATTTTGTTGCAGTTCTTTGTATTCTTTCAAGGAGATTAGAGTCTGTCTTGAGTGTTGGAGGAGCCACCGTATTGAAGACCTCTAGATGCGGCTGCACGTAGGATTTAAAAATGGTGAGGAAGAGTTCGGCAGTGAGGGCTGCAAGCTGTCTACGCAGAAAGTGTAGAATGGCGTTCGCTCTGGTTGTCATATCTTTGTGGTTGGAGCTGGTGTCCAAGGTGTCGGAGAAGTTGAGCCCCAAATCTTTCTCCATGGACACTCTGGTGATAGCACGGTTGCTCAACATGTACTGGAAGTCGGTCGTACCTGTTTCATTCTTACTGATGTGCGTTACTTTGCACTTTTCCAGGTTGAAGCTCAGGCCATTTCCGACGACCAGAGCTCGAGTTGCTGCAAGTCCTTTAGTAGTGCTGTACAATCAGCTTCTTCGTTTACCACCCTCTAAATTTTTATGTCGTCAGCGAAGAGGAGGATGGGTGAGGATATTTTATCTGGCAGATTGTTGACAAACAGGAAGAACAGAAGCGGTCTCCTTGGGATACTTTCAGCAACACATTTAACATTTTTACCTTATTCCGTCTACTTGCAAAATGCGAATGGAATTCATCCTCGTGAAAAACCACCATGTATGAAAACTCTAGTCATCCGTTAACTTGTTGTATCCCATAAATTATTTCTTCTTCATTAGTAACAATAATATTGGTAAAAGTGGTTTTACTCCGAAAGCTGTTGCATCGTGTCATATAGCATCAACTGGATTGTAACTGTGCATGTACACATAGCAAAATGAAATGGGTGCAAATTGTGTAGAACAGATAGCAATATTCGCCCTATTTACAGTTTGATTGAAAATGTACAGTTAATTTAGGCAGACAGTGACACTAACAACTGGATTCATAGCCTTTTAAGAGTGACTCGCTTCGTACTCACTAATTGGTTTGCTGTCAGTAACAGAAACAGATTAGTTGGTTTGTTTCTGATGCCTGTTTCTGCGCACAACAGATGAGCTAAATGAGGTATTCTAGAGTTTTTATATTTTGTTAACACGCGCACAGGGCCATATGTACTTGCTCCTTGTCTTTCCAGATGACCGAGACACAGACATCTTTGACTGAAGTGAATGCTGGTCACCTGACAGGATAACTCTAGCCAGATGTTCACATGAGTTAATACATTTGTCAACATCCTTTTTAACCAGAAGGTTTGGGGGTACGCAACTAGCTTTGCTGACAGCCTTCGAAGTTCTGTGCAGTGTAGCACAGTCTAAATTCAGCCACCCGGGAAAAAATAAAGGAGTACACTGGAGGGAGACAGGCAAGACGCAGGAGTTTATAAAACATAAGATGAGAGATTGGGTTATACCGGATACTTTCAGTTTCCTAATATAGAAAGTTAGGGGAAATTCCTTTGGAAAGTAATAAGATATGGGAGGATCATGAAAGGTCTGAAGTCACCGAGATAAATCACACTCCTAGCATTCTCCAGTGCTTAACCATCAATAGAACAAGAGTCTTGAGAACTGAGCAGTTTACACAGGTCAAGTTCAAATCTGAAACCAAAGCTGATAGTCTGACATTTTGAAGAATTAGGCGTAAGACCACTCACAGGGATCGTCATCCAGCAGTTGGTAAGAGGTCATTCAGTTAGGAACAAGCTGTCGAAGAGGAGACAGGTAGGAAAACTATGAGTTCAGCATCGTGCTTGGTGAAATTAGCACTAGCTAAAGATGGCAAGTTGTGCAGAAATAAACAGAAAGGACATGGAGAAAGGATGGTTCCTTGGGGCACACTAGTCACGGTAGGCAATGCAGTGGAGCAATTCCCTATGTGGACAGTACGTTGTTTCCTTCTGGAGAATACAACCAGCTTATTATTCAGGACTCAGTACCGCATCAGTTTAGCTTGATGGCAGAAGAGGTCTTGGGAGGGAATGAAATGCCGAAGTTTAGTCTAAAAAGGTGCACTGACATGTTTGGCATTTCCGTCAAGATTAGAAATAGAATTGCGATGTGAGACAGTGGTGGCATCCAGAGTGTCTATTCTGCTTGTGTATTCAAGTTGATCAGCGCATCTGGAAGTCTTCAATGAAGGTTCGAGCACAAGTATCAGTAGCTTCTCCTTTCTTTTCAGGCGCGCAGAGGTAACCGCAATCTAACGGAATTCTGAACATGCGACTGGAGTTCAAGACTTGGGTGCGGGACTGTCTTAATATCTTTTCAGGCAGGTGGTATGGCGTTTACCAAAAACAGCTCATTAAACGATCCACTACCCAAAGGATGGGATGGAGCATCAGCACACTTCGCGAGTACGAAGCTCTGAAAACCACCCGGACTTAAACCGTGTGAAGGTTCCAAAGATTTGAGACGCTTGAAAATGCCTTTTCCAATGAGCTTTTGGACAACATTCTTATTTGGAAGTGTGTGAACGAAGTGGTGTGAAGCAGGTTAGGTGGAGCATATACGATCTTTTCAAAGCACATATTCCAACTCGTGTCTCTTTACCGCAAGATTTACCACCGGCAGGGCTTTTAAAAAGTTTTCACGTGGTGAAGAGCCTTTGCATGACAAAAGTTTCCAGTTATATAGTAGACCCAGACGTCCACTTTCCGACATAATTAAAGCGTTCAATCGACTGGCGCCACCATTGTTACTTACTCTATATGGTCATTCTTTTTCCCTTCTTAGCCTCTTAAGCTGGGAGGGGATATGCGATCAAAGTGTGGGACAGAACATTCCCCTTTTTACCAACGAAAAGGCTTACAGTAGTCTAACAGGTGTGTGTGAAATAGTCAGCGATAAATTTGGAGCTGGTTATCTGGGGCCAACAAATCTTTTCTGTGGTGCTGATGTAGCCTGCTTCACAAAATTTATTCTCCCCCCACCCACCAACCCGAACAGGTGCGGTTGAGTTCACAGATCTCAACATAACCTAAGCCATTAGGATTCCAAAGTACCCAATAATGCTGGCACAGATGCACTAACATCATTTTTCCTTAAATATGGTGGCCCTGAAATTCCGTCACTGTTGCATTGAATATTTTCCATGTCTCTAGAATCACCCACTCACCCTGATATGGTGAAGAAATTGCTTATCCCACCCGGGTATAAATCTGGTTCAAAAACATTGGCCAGTAACCATAGACCGATAAGTATCTAAAAGGTGGTTTCTAGAGCTGTGGAGAGAGCTATCAAGAAAAGAGTTTCGCAGCACATGCCTAGGAACAACATCGCTACATCTAGTCAGCATGAGTTCCTGCAGTCAGGGCCCTGCACAACTTGTCATCTTTGCGTCTTCAACTTCATGATAGTGTGTGCGATCGGCACCAGTTAGTCCTTGTACTTTACTTAGATGTTTCCAAGGCAACTGACGTAGTTGACCATTTATTGTGAGTTGCCGTCTCTAGAGATTAACTGTTCAAAACTAGGATGAACTAAATCTTCTCTCGGTAATCACATTCAAGTGGTGAAAGTAGACACACATTTTGAAACCCACGCTACTTATCTCTGGCATAGTTCATGGCAGCAGGTCCACTTCTGTTTGCCTTGTTCGTGGGTGATGTTTGCAGCTGCTTCATACATGGTAAACCATTTTTGGTTGCTAACGACTTAAAAGTCGCGTACGTATTCTTTTATGCTGATCCATCCCGTTTCTAAGCGTTGGCACGAAATGAGCTTGATATAGCTTCTACATGGCCTTCTGCTTGTAAAGTTTCTTCCAACTTGGGAGAATGTGGCTGGGTATGCCTCGGAGCTCCTTCAATAGACGTCAAACCCCGTAGCGGCTAGAATCCAATAATCTTGGCCTGAAAGCGGGAAATAACTAGGCGGTGCCAACTGACGTGAATCTGACTACTTCCTGCGTTCTACTGTATAGCTTCCTAACTTCCG